TTAGGATTCTGTACATTAAAAAATAGGAGTATTAAAATGTGGTTCTAGAAAGGTTCATTCTAAGATTTTAAGAAGATTACAAAGTGATCCAGGAAAATTTCAAGGTACTAAAAATATTGAATAAGCATTCTTATGGTTCTAAGGATCTTAAAGAAATACTAAAAAAAGATTTTATGAAGACTATTTTTTAAAATGTTGAGAGAATTCTAAAAGAGGATCATATAGACACTTTAAAAAAATTCCAAGAAGGAAGAACTAGGTTTATGAGAAATTCTCAAAATATAAGACTTTGAGACTATCAAATAATCCAAAAAAGATTCAAAGAAGATTGAATACCCAATCCGATGCTTTCAAAAATTTTATAGAAATTTAAAAAAAATCTAAGATCCAATGAAGATTATGTGAAAACAGTCTGAGCGTTTTTGATGTTTTTGAGTGGATCCTAATTAAATTCTAGCAAGGTTCTAACAACATTCTTCCAAAATTAGGAGAGAACTCCATGGACACTTTAAGAATATACTAAAACTAACTGTTGCAAAGTTTAATAGAAAGTCTAAAAATATAAACTTGAACAACATTATAAGATAATCCAAACAAAATTCCAGGAAGCGTCTAAGAAGATTGAGTAAGTATTTATAAAGTATTTTATAGAAAATTTAGAAACATTCTTAAAAATGTAAACAAAATGAAATTCAAGATTGTATGAAAATTATAATTTTAAGGGGATTCTAGAAAATTGTACTGCAATTTTAAGAGAAATGGGCACTTAAAGAAAACTCTAAAAAAGACTCTGACAGTTCCACAGAAAAAGGTTTTGGTACATTGAGGTTCATAAGGTACATTAATCGTGCCCAGGGGTTTTCGAAATCATTCTTGTGAAGTTGGCCGTGATTTTTCGTAACCGAATTTTTCGAAAATCAGCGAGGGGAAAATGGAAACGTTCAATTCGATGATACTATGTGGTAGGTACATAGGATTCAGAGCAAGGTACATTTTACGAGCCGACCATTTTTCTGGGCCATTACTCAGATTAAATCTCTGTATAGTTGGAGCAAGCTCCACAAACCAAATGTAATTACATCTCTAATAATTATTTAAACTTTAAGCATAATCAGCACACTTGAAGAAACGAGCTCCTAGCGAGTTTATAATTTTGCGGTGTCTGTCCGTCCGTTAACACGATAACTCATAAACGAATTTGGTTTTGCGCATGCGCAGTGCCAACTTTCTTATTTATGAAGGCATTTAAATAAAATTTGATACATAGCCACTTGGAATAAAACCAAATTTTACCGCAAGTTTCAAAATTTGGTTTTGCGCGTGCGCAGTGCCAACTTTCTTATTTATGGAGGCATTCAAATGAAATTTGATACATAGCCACTTGGAATAAAAGCAAATTTAGCGCCATTTTCTAAACTTGGCTTTGTATAGGATGTGCAGTGCCAACTTTCTTATTTATGGAAGCAATTAAATGAAATTTCATACATATACACTTTAAAAAAAAAGCAAAACTAAGATCAGGTTTAAAATTTGGTTTTGCACATGCTATAGCCATACCCAGGAGCTCGTTTGCTATATTTGTTTAATTTATTATAAATAAATATGAATTACGACAGCACAGACTATTTAAGTTGCATGTGCTTTGTGCGCAGCAATTATAATCTTTTGTTTCCAAGACGCTCTCTTGAAAATTGAAGGAGGTAGGTAAACTCGGAATTTTACAGTCTTGTAATGACGTCATTTTTGTCTATCCTTGTTTAACTAATGTAAAATGACAATGACAAAAAATTTTGCCGAAATGTTGTTGTCGTGGCTAAATTTTACCTGAAATGCTTGTCAAGTGATTGTCAGTTTTGAAGTTTTGAAAACGCCAAAGCGTCAAAACATGCCGCCAAAAAACCCTCATCGATTTAACGAACAAACACAGTTAATAATTCTAAATGTGTTGGCTTTCTTTCAAATTGAACAGCAACAAGTTCGGAATGGCATACCACTAGACATCAACAATGTTATACGGCGAACTGCACAAGCAACGAAAGTCAGCCCAACAACCATTTCAAATTTGAGAAAAAATGGTGTAAAATCCGACAAAGATTACGCATCTAATGTCTCTACCAAGCAAAAGATTAACAAGACGAAAATCACAGAATATTTGAAGAATAAAATTCGGGATACAATCTATTATATGTACTCCCAAAAGGAATATTTTACACTGGCAACTATTAGACAAAAATTTCTGGAGCAAAACGAATATTTTCAATTTTCCATTGATTCATTGAGAAAGTGGATCAAAAGTATGGGTTTTAAATGGAAGAAGTCCAATAACAGAAAATATCTTATGGAGTTACCGGATATTGTCCACAAACGAATAAAATTCTTAAGGGAGTACATTGAAAACAAAAATTTGGGACATGAGGGTTATACTCCGGTTTTTATGGATGAAACCTGGATATTTAGGCATTTAAATAAAATTTGATACATAGCCACTTGGAATAAAGGATCATTTCGAAACAGCTGGCAAGATGATACTAAGCACACGGAATCAATTAAACCCAATGAAGGTAAAATAAGATATTATAATACCTTTTCAATATTATTAAAAGAGATATTCTTTAGGTCATCGATACATTATTGTCCACGCTGGGACGAACGATGTATTGGTGGGGCAAGTTTGATTTTTAAAAGTGGAAAAAAAACAGGAGACTATCATGATAATATGAACAGGGGTAATTTTGAAAATTGGTTCAAGACTCAACTGGTGCCAAATCTTCCTGAAAAATCTTTAATTATTATGGACAACGCAAGCTACCATTCTGGCCTTTTAGAGAAAATTCCCACCAAATCATGGACAAAACAAAGAATGATAGAATGGTTAGGGGAAAAAAATATCGGCTATCCAGAAAAGGCAATGAAGGATCAAATATGGAGCATTGTCAGCGCAAACTGCCCCAAAGATAAAAAGTACTACCTTGATGAATATGTTAAGCCTTTAGGACATAAAATTTTACGGTTACCGCCATACCACTGCCAATTTAATGCGATTGAAATGGTGTGGTCTCAGTGTAAACGAAAATACGATCAGTACATTGCAAATTTTAAGGGATCAACACAAGAGGTTTTGGCAACATGGGAAAGGGTTATCGGGGAGATTTCTAGGGATAATTGGGAGAAATACGTAAACCATACGGACAAAGTAATACAAGAGGCTTGGGGAGCAGTACAAGTTTGTGATGCTTCTGACATCCCACCTCTTGTTATCACTACAGACGCAGATGACGACCTTGCTGACGACGAATACTTTGATTTTGACTCTGACGATACGGACGAGGGCGACTAATTTTCTTCTAATACTGTGACCATTACAATCGCAATAAATTGGCATTGGTATATTTTTGTTTTACGATTTTGATTTTCCAACTATTCATCAAGGTAGTGCAATTTTTTCTTGTGTAGATGTGGTTTCGATAGTGGTTCTTTGAATGTTTATGTACTCCTCTGCTAATTATTTTTTGGGTCTTTTCGGGAGTATTGATTCCTAAATAATATTCTGTGATTTTCGTTTTGTTAATCTTTATTTATTTAAAAACAAAAATATGTTAATATTACTTATATGTTAGTTGAGCAAGTTATTAAAATAATTAGTGAGTAAATGACCTTTTTTGAAATATTAACATTTTATCCATCCAATGACGTCATTACACGACTGTAAAATTCCGAGTATAATACTTTTGTAAATGAATAAACAAAGGTAATACGAATAAACAATGGTAATACGTATGTTGTAGCTTGTAGCATAGTCTGCATAGTGTAAGAATAGAAGTTGTAGTGTAGGTGCCTACTTCAGTAACATTCAAGTTCATATTTAAAAAGTATTCTAATAATTTGATGATCTAAACCCCAAATTATTTTAGAGCAAAAATGTATTAAGGTTTTTTGTAGAAAAATTTTTTTACGTCAATCAACCGTATTAGTTTTAAATTTGTTGCATAACAAAGACGGAAAATTGGAAAAATAAAACCCCCATCTTTTTCAATAATCTGTGATGCCATGGAATTTTATATTACAAAAACTACGCCAATATCCGTCATGCTATGGAATGTCTGCTATAAAACAAATCAAATTCTATCAAAAAGTATTATATTTAGAACAGCGAATTCAACATAAAGAAAGACCAAATTACTAAAAACGGTTTCCTAGTATGACAATTTACAATAAATGTTCGAATCAGTCACCATTAACTGCAAGACAGTAACAAAGTCGATCATAAAATCCATTTCGAACTGCTTCTAATTGATAACTGGATATCTTTTTGTTTTAGAAAATTCCATGGCATCGCAGATTATTGAAAAAGATGCGGGTTTTATTTTTCCAATTTTCCGTCTTTATATGAAAAAAATTGAAAACTAATACGGTTGATTGACGGAAAAAATGTTTTGCTCTAAAATAATTTGGGGAGCCAATAATCGCATGTTATCAATTTTTCATTGAAATCCCTATAATGCGTTACGCAAATGGTAAATAAACACTTGCAAATTTGAGTTTTATTCGTTTATTATGAAAAAGGAGTTCAACCCCATGGTGAATCGCATTAAATGGACACACTGTATCAACCTCGGTATCAACATTCCGAATGTAAATCATGCATTTTCTTAAAATTCGTCTTTTGTAAGAAACGGCATCTAATTAACATGTATATTATACTATTGTGTTTGGCCGTTTACGTTTTTCTCATGTAAAACGCACTGCGATTGTTGTTCTCGGCGGGGTCTTCTTCGGGCGAACAATAAATAATAAATAAATACTGGAAATGCAAATGTTCGAAATTAGTCAAAAGGTACTTCGGGGAACAGAACAATGTAGGTATTTAGGATGATCCCTTGAAGGAGTAACGACCCGTACAAAAACCGAAGGATGACGCCGATTGCGAATGCATTGTATTGTATTCGACCCTGAACTGACGTTAAGGGTCGAAAGCTTTAATAACCGCAAAGCGAACGCCATTAACCCGGACATTTAATCCTAGGTCTGTTATCTTCTTTAGCTAAAATCACAAAGTTTACGCTAGTGCAAGATAAACAAACCAGCAGTACCCAGCGCCTAATTTTGAAATAGGCGGGCCCTAGGCCCCTCAATATTTGGGGGCCCCACCTCATGCCCAAACAGTGCATGTGAATTTTAGGTAAAATCAAACACTACTTCAGACATTAGCGTATATGTCAGATTTAGGTATACAAAAAATTATAATAAGCATAAGTAAAAAATATATAAAATTTAAATCAAACAAATATTCTCATAATGCGATACAAAATATAAAAATCTAGTGAATAATAATTAAAAATCAGTTGTAAGTTAGGTAGGTAAATACTACAATGCGCACAAAAACATACATCTAAATTACTCGTTTCCGTATTTTCAGATCAGCGAATTGCGTCTATAAGTTTATTTACATCTATTACATTTAGGATGTCACTTTCTACATTAAGAACTGCCAAGGACGAAGTATTGTCTTGATTCAAACAGTTCCTTAATAGTGCAGCGGAAAGAGCCGCGAAATCGTTCAAAAAATTTTTTCGGAGTAGAAAGAATTGGGACCCACACCATTTTGTTCAGAAATGTTTGAACCTTCAGAATCTCGCTTTAGGACATTTTCCCGTGGTCCTGACAAAAGTTATAGGCCGCTAAAGTTGAAATTTACTCATTTTCGCGCGCGCGACTAGAGCACCGAAAGTATTTATTTTCTCAGCAACTAAGCGATATACATCAATAATTCCTTTTGTAAAATGAAAGTACATTTATAGCAGAATCTAAAGCATTCAATTTACCTACTTTGTTATGGACAGTTTTTAGAAAAATGACCGTCAACTTCCAAAATTCGTGTAGCAGATGAAAAGTGCGCACTTTGAACTCTCATAACTTTTTATTTCACGATATGGATTTCCAATATTTATAGCTCATTCGATGCTCCAAAGCAATGTGATTATTTTATTTTCTATAACATTACCGTGAATATTTCATAATAAAAAAGTTACGGTCATTTAAGTAAAAACCTACCGACCTCGCCGAGTCGGTAATCGCGAGTGAGACGGAGAGGGAAGGATAGTCAGCAGCGTTCGCTAAACAAGGAGCGATGCGTAAGAGATTTTACTTTACTAAGAAATTTCTCTCCGAATACCAAAACTAGCCATTTAGGCCGTTTAGTTTACAAATGCATTCCGCCGAGTTGCATTGTAAAATCTCAAACAATTCATTAACTCCATGTATCTCAGTTCTTTGGTGAAATATATAGGTACAAATAGGTACCTTTCCCTGTAAATTTTGGGGGTTACTCCACATCAGGTATCTCTTGTGCTGTGCTGTATATTGCAAGATCAGCAGTAACAACGGTATGATTTTGTCCCAAAGATTTAGGCTTGTTTTTTGATTTCACTAGACGATTCATTCATTCATTCATTCATTTTTATTTAATTCCTTCGACAAATAACATTTGTATGGAACAAGTCAATATAACATTAATTAAACAAACGAACAGTTAAACAAACAAACAATTAAATATTGGAAGATATAAAAAATTCTTGTATGTTGTAGAAACACCCATTGACTAGATAATCGTACAATTTCTTTTTAAATTTTTTCCATGTAAGGCAAGTTCGATGGTTAGGATGGTATTGTAGCTCGCTGGTGGAGAATTCAAAAACGGCATAGGTATATTATATTGAATGGTAGATACCGGAACTTACTTAGGAGGATTATCAGCAGGTACTTAGGCTGTTAAAGTCAGTTATCTGGTCGTTATCTAGTGATAGGTAAACGAGGAATTTGGATTTCTTCTGTCGATGTATCTCGCTTTTGAAAAAAGACTGTGCGTTGAATTTTTTTCGTCTGTTTCCACAGAATATAGCCTATACTTATTCTCATTCTGTGACGGTTTCCTCGTTGATGTCGAAGTTATTAATGGTCGCTGTGATAAAATTATCATTTTTTATTTGACAAATTTTTGTGAAATGTAGGTAGACACCCTTAGCAGAACATGTAATATTGACGTTTACTGTACTTGTTATGCCACTGTCGGAGAACATTTTCTGACCCGAAAGACCAATTTGCAAATGAGTCAGTGTAACTTTTGTTTGAAAAATGACCTTAAGAAAAACTGTTCAATAATTTTGTTCCGTAAGTATGTACCTAGACAACAAACTTCGTGGAATTTTGTCAATTTTCGTTGTCCGGCCAAGAATTGCAGTGGAATTATTTTTTTCGAATTTTCAAAAACTAATTTCAGATTCAAAAACCACCAGATACCAAATTTCGTCGAAATCAACATTTTTTCGCACCCCTATTGAGGGGTGTGTCCTTTTGCGGTAGGAATTTTGAAAAATTATTTGCAAAACCGGAAAGGGCATACAGCAAAACCTATTCAAAGACTTACCACCAGTCTCTGTAACTGTTGCTGAGAAAAAAAGAAACTTTACCACTTTTTTGAGGGTGGCTCCTAAACGAATACATGGATTTTTTTTTTGGTGTTTGGATCCATCGTTCCTCGAAATGGGGGTTGAAATATATTGTGTGATCAAAACTCTCTAAACCTTCCCCATATAGTTTTTATTCGTTGAAGTTTTTAAAAATAAAAGCGACTATAGCTTCGGCGTACTGCCATCATCAGGCGATGTGAAATTTAACAGGAAAACGGTAAGTTACAAACGTTGAAGACGAATAAGACGAACATGTTGTTTTTTTAATTATTAACTGGCCGAAGCCAAGTGAAAAAACCTGAAGGGTGGTTAAACCGGAAAGGTTGTCCTAAGTTTCAAAACGAATTATTATCAAGCCTTGTTAAGTTAAGACAACCAACCGGAGGGTTGAATTATTACATTAAAAGTTGAAAGTTGAATTTAACACATTTCAAAAGAACCGGGGGGAAAAAATAAACTCATAAAAGTTTTGAAACTATTGAGATGACTACATATTTAAATTATTTAAGTTAAGTTTAAATTCGAGATCATGCAGACGGCATGTCTAGAAATGATTGACCACCAGGTTTACCTATCACTAGATAACGACCAGATAACTGACTTTAACAGCCTAAGTACCTGCTGATAATCCTCCTAAGTAAGTTCCGGTATCGGTATCTACCATTCAATATAATATACCTATGCCGTTTTTGAATTCTCCACCAGCGAGCTACAATACCATCCTAACCATCGTCTAGTGAAATCAAAAAACAAGCCTGAATCTTTGGGACAAAATCATACCGTTGTTACTGCTGATCTTGCAATATACAGCACAGCACAAGAGATACCTGATGTGGAGTAACCCCCAAAATTTACAGGGAAAGGTACCTATTTGTACCTATATATTTCACCAAAGAACTGAGATACATGGAGTTAATGAATTGTTTGAGATTTTACAATGCAACTCGGCGGAATGCATTTGTAAACTAAACGGCCTAAATAGCTAGTTTTGGTATTCGGAGAGAAATTTCTTAGTAAAGTAAAATCTCTTACGCATCGCTCCTTGTTTAGCGAACGCTGCTGACTATCCTTCCCTCTCCGTCTCACTCGCGATTACCGACTCGGCGAGGTCGGTAGGTTTTTACTTAAATGACCGTAACTTTTTTATTATGAAAAATTCACGGTAATGTTATAGAAAATAAAATAATCACAATGCTTTGGAGCATCGAATGAGCTATAAATATTGGAAATCGATATCGTGAAATAAAAAGTTATGAGAGTTCAAAGTGCGCACTTTTCATCTGCTACACGAATTTTGGAAGTTGACGGTCATTTTTCTAAAAACTGTCCATAACAAGGTAGGTAAATTGAATGCTTTAGATTCTGCTATAAATGTACTTTCATTTTACAAAAGGAATTATTGATGTATATCGCTTAGTTGCTAGAAAATAAATACTTTCGGTGGTCTAGTCGCGCGCGCGAAAATGAGTAAATTTCAACTTTAGCGGCCTATAACTTTTGTCAGGACCACGGGATAATGTCGTAAAGCGAGATTCTGAAGGTTCAAACATTTCTGAACAAAATGGTGTGGGTCCCAATTCTTTCTACTGAAAGTATTCGAATACATTCTAAAGTATTTGAATACTTATTTTTTTAAGTATTTGAATCCTTTTCAATGTATCTGTATCTAGTATTCGCTTGTGTTGAACGTAAAAGTATTTAGTATTCAAATACCTTTGATTTGTGTAAAGTATTGACTATTTAGTATTCAAATACTTTTTGAAAGTATTCTGCCCAGCTCTGAGGCGAAGAAGCTAAGGAAATGGGCGACATGTCAAAGAGTAAAGCTGCATCCAACGGGACGAGATCGACAGCTGTCCGCATAGGCGTAGGCAGGGGTGGGAATAACCCGATGCTTCATTGAGAAGAGCGTGGAGGTGAATCAGTGTGGGCTTGCACCTGTGAGTGCCTTAATTGCGGAGAGAAGAGCCACTACAAGACTAAATGCGACCAAAATAAGAAGTGCCTCGTGTTTGAAATTGAATCCCACAATATAAAGCGGCCATAATGACCGCTGAGAGGATCGGGCAACCTACTAAGTTGATAAATAGCAGACACCCAATAAGTATCTGATTTTAGTTAGTGCCGATAAATCTAGTTAAGTTAATACTTAGGTAATTTTTATTACTATTATTGATGTCTGTGTCGCGTATATAATGCTAAAAATACTGCCAAACAACCATAAATAGGCGTATGACCTGGCGGTTTAAACAGCGTATTCGGTAAAGGAATACTCTTGGTGATGCCTGCTTTGTGTAACTGTGAATGGCACAGAGGAATTAGGAGACGGGTTTTAGTCGGGGTAGGTCCCACACTCGCCATGCATAGATCTTCACCAACAGCAGGGATGTGCTTTAGGTATTTCCCAATTCCCATTTAGGAAAAAAAAATCTTATACATGTTTCTCATACCATAATTTAATGTAAAAGATCAAAGTTATTGTATGTCCCATAGAAGGTAAATGGAGAAGACTTCATCCAAATTTAATATACTTTCCGTCATGCCTGTCTCACTTCTGCTAGTTCTTCACGCAATA